GCTGAGAGCCTGGCTTGTGTCCTAGAGTGGGTGCTCACGGCTTATACACAGCCAAGCTCCAGTTAGAGCCGTGTCTCCCAGAGTCTTTCTGGCCAGCCAAGGTGTGCCCAGGGTACCTTCATTTTCTCACAGAAATGCTCTCGTCATAAAATTTTAAAATGTTCTTTGTACCTAAGCATACACAAATACATTCTAAGAATATTTAAAAAAGATTACCAATAGCATTTAGATCTTGAAGCTGTAAAAAGAAATTACTCTTCAAACAGCTAAACCTTTCACTACAGTGTTTTTTGAGTTGCAAATATCTTCTTTACTGTCCCCCCTTTCATATATCTAAGTATTATATATAAAACATTACCAATTCTTGTAAAAAATACACAATAGAAATTGGGAAGACCTGAGATACAATAATAATTTAAAATGCTAACTAAAACAATCCTAACAAATAAGAACATGATTACCCATTTGACTAAATTCTTATGTCCAGGCTTTCATAATGTGTCACTGTAGGCCGCGCAGCCACCCTTGTGCTTGAGGCCGGCTTGCCCTCCTTCCCTCCATCCCTTCCTCGCTCCTTGCCCCTGCAGTGCTGTCCTACAGTCTTGGCTGTACTGCTCTTCCTCTTCCCCATGAGCATGGCTTTAATCACTGCTTTCCTTTGTCATTGCATATATTTCCAAAGTGAAGAACTCATAATGCTTTATATAATGAATATTCCTGAAGTTGGTCATGCTGTACTTTGGAGGTCATAACAGAAGATAGAAGGGTGCCTCACTACAAGCAGATTTTTAAGTGCGTCTGGTTTATATTAAAATTATGTTTCCATGTAAACTACTGGTTATTTAAATGCCCCAAATCAATTTTAAATATGGGAAACCAGATATATAAGCACCAAGCTACAGATATTTTAAATCAGGTATGTTTGAATATACAAAAAATTAGTATAGTCATTATTGAAAATAGTATAGAGGTTCCTCAAAAAACTAAAATTAAAACTATCACATGACAGATTCAGTAATACACCAGTATACTCCTGGGTATATATCCAAAGGAAATGGGACTGGGATGTCAAAGAGACATGTATACTCTGCTGTTCATTGCAGCACTATTTCCAATAGTCAAGAAACACAAACAACCTGTGCTCATCAAGTGATGACTGGATAAAGAAAATGTGGCAAGAATACATAGTTGAATAGTATTCAGCCACAAAAAGTAGAGTCCTGTCATTTGTAGACATGAGCTCATTAAGTGAAATAATTAAAGCCCAGAAACACATGCACTCCATGATTGTACTCACATGTGGATTCTAAAACCATAAATCTCTTAGAAATTCAGAGTAGAATGGTGATGAACAGAGGCCAGGAGAGCAGGAAGAAAGAGGAAGACTGATTAATGGCCTGAAGGTAGCATTAAACAAAGCAAGAAGCTCTGTGCTAAGACACGGTGTAGTGATTACAAATAACAGTTACGTGTTTATGTTTCGAGAAGCTGTAACAAAGGTTCTTGAAAATTTTTACTGCAAGGAAATGATGAATGAGAAGAAAATTACTTTTAGCCTGGTTTAAACATTGTGTAATATATAGATGTATCAATATCATGTGGTATCCCATTAATACGTACAACTTCTACTATTTTTAGTATCAGCTATAAAAATATTAAATAAATGTACAAATACTAGATTCAGAATGACATGGTACAAATACAAAATTTCTGTGTTTCACAAACATAAATTATCTATTCATTACATTTTAATTTACAAAGAAAACATTATATGGGAAGTTATGTTAGCTCAGTCTTTCTGTGTGGAAATTTAGGTCTAAATCTATGGTTATTATAGACAGCTCTGCTTGTCTCCTCTCTTACTGCCTAGGCAGCCAGGTGTCCTCTACTGTGACAGCATTAACCACCACCCCAGGTATGTAGCGTGCACCTGAGGGGAATGAACAGCAGCATCTGCTAACAAGAGGTTTGTACCGTCACTGACTCCTAGCAAAATGTAGGAGCCAGGGCAGGGTGGCCTTATCATTGACATACACAGAGAGCTTTTAACCTGTTTCTTGTTGGGGGGAGGGGGCGAGAGAAGGGGGCAGCTTACTTCCAATGTTCATTTAATTCTCAGTGATCAAGAATTACTAAACTTACAAATGAAACTACCACTCTAAGTAAAATGATGTCTTTTGTTTTTAAAGATTATCGATGTACTATAATAATGCAAATGTAACACTAAGCATTAGGTATTTTGTGGTAAATTGGCTAGGATTGTAGTCTGCAAGTTATCCGGGGGTAAATGCTACAGCAGCCTCTCTGGCAAGTATTCTTGGGGGCGTATGCCACATCCTAGCTTCCTGGTTCTATGCAGCTGTGAAGAACAGCAGTGATCTCAGAGTGCTAGGTAAAGGAGCATAGCTTTTTAGGAAAGGTCTAAGCAGGGATCAAGTCTTGGTGCCCCTCTGGGGCAGGGTTTCTTTCCATTTACTGCTAATTTGCTTGTCTGCTAGGAGAGCGCTAAGCAAACATTTTAGGTCCTGGATTAGTTTTCCAGATCTATTTAAACATTTTAAACTGTACCATTACTTTTTTTTTTTTTTTTTTTTGGAACCAGGGATTGAACTCAGGTCCTTGTGCTTGCCAGGGAAGTGCTTATTCTACTGAGCCATCTCCCTGGCCCTCCATTACTTTTTAAAAATACAATGGTTATATGTATTTGATAAGCATTAGCTTAAGCTGTAACTGGACCTAGATTAAAGTATGTATTTTATATCCATTACAGTCTTAGATTGTGAAAGAAGTAACAACATGACTACAAGTACACACACACACACACACACACACACACACACAGAACCATTGACTGAGATGGGTCTTGAGTGATCTGCCCAGTCTACTTAAGAACAAAACAACACAAAATACCGCATCCTTTTTTTTGAAGAGGACATCATCATTATGAGCTTCTTCCCCTATACTGAATATTTACTTGCATGAAATTTTGTTCATTACTTTCAGGTAATATTTAGGTTAATTCCTTAAAATCCATTTTCCCTTTGCTATCCATCAACTACTTCTAAATTATCATCTATTTTCTTCTCTCTCTAATCCATTGCCTCAATTCACTGATCATTATTTGGCTTTAATGTAGGGATGTGACAGCTTTACACTGCCCACCACTCATTCACTGTAAAGTGGTTCTACATCAGGTGGCATTAAAATTATTTCCAAATATATTTCTATAAAGCTCATCTTTCTTTTGGCTTATCACTTATAATAACTTCATCTATCATGTAGAAAAAGTAGAACAAAGATATCTTCATTCTATTCTTTCAACTGTAACACTAGAAGTATTCATATAAAAGGACATAGAATTTAGTGAGCTGTATTAAAATCATGTTCTGCTTAGGGTATAGCTCTGTGGAAGAGAACATGCTTATTTGCATGTATGAGGTGTTAAGCCGACACCTCAACAATTTTTTTTTTTTTTTTTTTTTTTTTGTATTTTTAGGGAAGGCTCTACAGGGTGTTCAGGGTCTCACTACTAAATTAGACTCATAGTGATCCACGTGTTTACAGCTTCCCAAGAGCTGGGCTTACAGAAGCGTGATACCACGCCCAGTCTCAATTGCCCTCTCAGTGCGCCCTGGGGGCAGGGCCAGCATAGCAGGGGATTGAACCCCCAGCCCTTGCACCTGCTTGCAGGCACTTTAATATGCTGAGCTATTTGGCTGGCCCTAACAAAAAATTAAAATAAGATAGAAAATAAAATCATATTCTTATGAGACACAAGACAAATTTCAAGTACTAAATATAAGTGAAACTGATCTCCATTTTGAAGAGCTTATAGAGACATTTACAAAACATATTCTTGTTGTGATACTGAGAAGACATAAAAATCACAGTAACTAAAGAAAATAAAGAATAATAAGGGAAACATCTTTAAACACCAGCATAAAAATAAAAAGAAAAAAAATCATGACTTCTGTGAACACATAAAAGATAAATACATATGTTGGATTTACTGTTTATATGTTTTATACAATGTTATTCATATATACTCTGCAGACAGCAGCATATGAAAACAAGTAAATTTTAGCCAGGTGTGATGGCACACACTTGTAATCCTAGCACTTTTGAGAAGCTTACACAGGAGGATAACATGTTTGAGTCCAACCCAGGCGACTTAGTGACAAGCAAGATTCTGTCTCTAAAAAGAGTTGGGGGTGGGCTGGAGATGTAGCTTAGTACAGAATATCTTAATTCAATCTCTAGTATTGGAACAGAACAAAACAAAACAGAATACCCAGTAAATTTTACTGTTCATCCATTATGTAAATCAAATCTTACTTCTGAATGTTAAACCATTTTCTTAGAAGCAGAGCTCTTGGAACAACTTCTATTACATATATACAATGTTTTTAAAAGATATATAAGATATGCACTTAATTAAAACACACTCCTGCAGGCATACTTTCTTTTTGTTGCTGAAATCTCGAGTCTTTAATTCTCCATTAAAAAAATAAAGCCATGATTATAAGCTTTCAAGCTATCCGAAGATGTGAAAGCCTGTCTGTAGCTCAGCTCAGTTCAAAGCAAGGAAAGAAATCATTTCTTCTTCCAACTCAAAGTGTGTTTAAAGAGGGATGTCTGATAGAAGTGGTAATGCCAATCTAACCAATTTAAAAATATAAAGTGCTTCTAACAATATTTGGATACATATAATTTGACAAAAGTTTTATAAACCTAAGCTTTGAAAAATAGAAAATATAAGCCCCAACACACAACTTAATATGTAATTGAAAGAAAATATTTTGTAGAAAAAAATGTGTCCTTCCAAAGAGAGACAAAAAGACTAACTTATTTCCCAAGAGAATTCTGCCACTTTTATACAACAAAATTATGGTCACCACAAATTACTTTCAACAATTCCATTGCTTCTTCATTTAACCACTTGAAAATCAAAATTCTCTGAGATTATAAATATAACTTTTTATAACTCTGTTATTACGTACTGTGAATGGAGAAAGGGGGCCAATCTTGTGGCCATGGCGTCGGATGGCCTCTCTGATGTGGCAGGGCTGGATGGCATCACTGTGAGCCTCCGCACCACAGGCCGCGGTGCTCTGTGATAGAAAAACACATAAACCGTTGCTAAATCAAAAACACGCAAAAGAACTACAGTGTATGAAATATGAAAATAAACCTTTATAAAACAGGCCATTTTTTCCTCTCAAGATGCACATCAAATCAGAGATGACTGTTATGTGACCCTTTCTGAGCAGACCTTTACCAAATGTAATTTTTATGTCTATAATATTTCACCTAAGCCTGCAAGTCAAGGTACAGAAGGACACCGCTACTTGTGTGCAGATGAAAACTGTCATGGGAGTTTGTTGAAAGAACCACAGGAAGTTTTTTTTAAAAAAAACAAAACATTTAAACATTCATTATTA